GTCCTACATAAAATTTTAAAACAAAAGAAGAATATTGTTTGTATACAAACACGAACGATTTATTTTCTCGGATGCAAGATCCACGAGTATCCATCATGGTTTTAGTCGAACAATCGTCGAAGAAGCTTCAGGGAACGGGATATTTTTAACACTCTCAGAAGATATGAAAATCATTAAAGCATTTCCGAATCTGCATATTTAGCAAACAAATTAAGAGCCGTTTCTAAACGGGTCATCGATCGACATGATGAACAAATTTCGGACGGACTCGACTTTTTCTTCGACTTAATGCCCGTTCCTCTTAATCTTCGCAACGCGTTAATTATTCGTGTACCGTTCTTCCTGACAACGTTACGAGATAATTCGAAGAGGAAAGGTGCCATATTTCTTGAAGCATATCATTAATTTGCTCCAGCGAAAGATAAAGAAAATACTGTTATACGCCCCGCGGAGTCACCCGTTATGAAATGCGAAAAGGTAATCAAGATTTCATTGATTAATGCAAGGAGATCAAAATTTAATATAACAGTGGCCGCTGGCCCGAAACAAGGCGTGAATATTGTAGTGGGTGTCTGAATGGGAGAATCTGACTGTATAATTGGTACTTGCGTTGAAAGTAATCTTTCGGAATGGCAAATCATAATAATCACAGAGTAGAACTTCCTCAAAATTTGAGAGACGGGCGATTTGTCGAAAGTGTCAAACAGTTCGAGCTGTCTTTGGTGACGAGTTCAAGAGTCAAAGGACGTGTCACGCTTGGTAGAATTTCGACATGTCTTATCACCGTTTTCCAGATATCAATCTGTCATTAAATCACTTCCTTCTTCCTTTCCAGACGACACTGAATGAATTTTGCTGTAATAAAAACGTTTTTTATTGAGGTACTTATTTTAATATGGTTGGAAATTCTTACTAAGTTCTATATAATTTTTCTTTTTAGAGATTGGAAGACTTAAGTATGATACTGAATATGTGAAAGTACTAGTTGCTAATGACGTTCTACTTCCTTTTCTAATTCAAATAACTTTGCATTTCGATATGAAACGGGTTAAAATCGTTCGAGCGTTACATTTCATTTTTTCTCATGCTTTCTGTTGTTTTTTTTAATGTTGTAACTGATTGCCGAAGAAATTAATATACAAATTAGCTATAATTTATCCAAATTAATTAATATACAAAGTAATTTAACTGATAACACATCTAAATTGATACTACAAGATACAAAATTGGTATAGCCTATTCCTTTCATCTATCGGTTGAAAATAATAAGATATTTAATCATTTTTTTTTTCATTAGACTGGCTACTTTTAGATACAAGAATAAGGCTATTTTAATAATTTATAACGAATTTCATCAAAAGATGTGAATGGAATTCGAACCCGGATCCAATTAGAGCATATTATATTGAAAAATTCGAATTTAATTCCGGGTTGGATTTGTATATAAGTTAAATTAAAGCTTAAGGCCTTATTCCATGAGGGTCTCACGATTAAAATACAAGAAAAATTACTATCATTTGATGGAAGAGAAGGTCTTCTTATAAGATAATAGAGTTCAGGGCCACAAGTTTAAATCCAAACACGATAGAAATTAAAAAATTCCAAAGAAATTCGCTAGAATTCCTTAAATTCCTATCATTACAACAGGGTACACGTCTTAACTTCCTAAAAAGACTAACGATACATAACCACCGCATATATTTCTTTTCTAATTAAGTTCCTTATTCGCATAAATTCAAAATATAATTACTACAAGGGTCATTTAATCTCTAACGTTTCACTTAGCAGAATAATTTAATTCTTAAGAAATAAACTTTTAAACTCTCATTTCCATACTTTCTAATTTTAGCTAAGTCTCATATCAGGAAGTAAAATATGAAGAAGATCAACGTCCATTAATTCTTTAATGTTTAATAAAAACGAAACTTATTTTAGGTTCTAAACGTCGAAGTTAAGAGCAGTCATCTGTGGGTGGTATGTCCAACGAAAGATTATTTATACGATTTTTAAGATAGAACGTACATAAAGGGAAAGCTAGCATCACCAACCATGTACGAAAATACTATTTTAATTATAGTTCATCACTTTTCACTTTTTCCCTTTTAGCGGGGTCAATGCACATAACCTCTTCTAAACACGGAAAATAAAAACCCCCTTCCTCCTTTCGTATTGCGGAAATTTCTCTCATTTCTCTCATTTAGAAAACCACATTAACAAGATTTGACCATGCAAAGATTCCCTTTTCGTAACTCAATTTGTTTACCATGGAAAACAATCGCACGTATTGCCACGTGTTACATTTTTTTTCGGTCGGAAAACAGTGCCATTGTTTGAAAATATTGCGAGAAAACAAAGAAATCGTTTAGAAGAAACTACACAATGCCAGAACAATAAAAGAATAATTCGAAGATGGCGAAAGAAACGAGAAAGAACAAAAGGGTACCTTCAGAGAACAAGGGCAATATATAAAGAATGAAAGGGAAACAAATTGCTCGATAAGTGTTTAATATATTGTTGACACGAAACCAATATCTTGCAGCAGAGGCGTTAAGTTGTTTTGAAGAATTACGTAAAAAAATCGGCCTAAAAGTCAGTTAGTTAACCGTCCTTTTGTGTATTGTACTAGAAGGTTGTTACCATTTCGAATTTTTTTACTTAAGTCAAATAGTGGGGTAAGAGAATTTTTTACAATGGTTAACTGATTACATACAGCTGATATCATCCATTTTGGGCCCCAACCCCCTCCGGTGATATAATTCTAGGTGAAGTGTACTCGAACAATTGTAGTGAATTCATGGTGTGTTGTGTTCTAAAAACATCATCCTTCACAGGTTAATTGTAAGGACAATGTGGGGCCTCACGTAGCTCGAGTGACCCGGGACAAGTTCCAGAGCCTTAGTTTAGTAGAATGTATTCACATGTTTGACCCTAACACCACTATAAAAAAAATCGTCGTAAACTACGTAATTATCGAGGCAAATAAGTACGAAAAAAATATATTAAAGGAAACAATTTTTTAATGATTTTTAAAAAAAGAATTGTTTCTAAAAGAATAGAACAAAGAAATTAGAAAAAATAAAATTCCTCGCTGCAAAACTGCTGAAAAAATTATGTTATTTTTATTGTTTTGTTTTGTATTTCTTTGTTTTGTACTTTGTCTACGTGATACAAACGAAGAAAAAAAAAAATACAAATAAATATTTCATGTATACGTGAACACAACACTTTTAAGAATAATATTCTATATAAATTAATATAGATAATATAATATAAATTCTTCTTAAAAGCTTTAGTTTATCGAAAGTAAGTTTCCACTTCACACTAAATTTCACCCATTAAACAATTTGTCAAAGCTTTAGACAATAGAAGTCATTCAAGTAGGCATACTTTATTGTTTTTACCACGTTTTCCGAAACAAACAATAGATATAAATATAGAAATTCATTTATCTAACTTCATAAAACGTTTTTATATATACAGAGTGGACCAAAAGTCGGTAAACCGCAGATACACGCTGAATATGGGTTTATAATTTACTGTGTGGATGTTTAATTATTTTAATAAGATAACAATTTAGTCTGTTCAAATGTTAACTGACTTTTAGGCCACCCTATATAAGAGAAAAAAATTTTAGTCAAAGGAGAATAATAAACGAAACTATCAATTAAGCACACCCAAATGGCATCCTTACCCCATAATTCGATTGATTTCTCTATAGAAAACTTCGATTCTCTATCGTTTTAATCAATCATTTACTAAATACTCCATTAAAGAAGTGCACGCAACAACGGCTCGACTACAATACAAACGGCATGTACACAATTTTAATTCGTAATAATAATAATTACGTAAAAGGTTTGTACGCTTATTAATCTTATTTTTCGCTAGAGTACAGTAAATAAGTCAAGAGAAATCGCTCCAAAAATCCTCTTAATAAAACCCCCCTCCCTCCTTCTACCTTAAAGAGAATATCATTAAGAACAATGGACTTTACACACTCCAACGATTGCACGCTTTTAACTAATATTGTCTCCGAGGGGATCCAATTACTGAATCTGTCGTGTAACTTTTTTTTTACTCCTCTCCTTATTGATATACATTTATAAAGGTGTATATTTTTAATGGTCCCTTATCAAGCTAAATCCTACTGTATACTATTTTTAGTATTTACCAAACCCAAACTGCTAATTAACGTAACTTTTTTCCTCTGGAATCCACGCTGCACCCCCTCCCGAACGGCCTTGATACACCTCTCAAGGTCATTCCGTGTGACTTTTTTTTAGGTGTTTTCGGGTTTTAAACTGTGTTTCCTGTATGAAAAAGAAGTGTGTTTCCTATGAAACCATAGAAATATTTGTCAACAGGAGGAACAATGCGAAGAATGATCGGATTTCGAATCCGAAAGTAATGAAGATTCGGCCATTGACACCATAATCTGACGTCGTTATAGTATGGGTGCGTGACTCTAGGGAATCGAGTTCTGGCTCAATAGAGAAGACGGTAGTTCTGATGCTGAGACTATAATTCTGAGTTCTTACGTGTTTACTTATTCACATGGCACTCTTCAGTTTTGGTTTATCTACCGGAGGGTGGGAAACAAGTTGCTACTACATATTTTTTTTACATAAATTATATACTAAAAATTGTATGATGTGGTGATTTACACCTTTAACTACTCTTACTTTCCATTAAAGAAAATATACCACAGATTCTTGTAGTGTTGGCCTGAGTTTCAAAGATGTACACATGTTAGTTTCTAATGCTGTTTAATGTTTAATTTTGTATTCTTGATTAAGTTTCTCATTGTTTTTATTAGGAATGTGTAAAGCATTGGCTGCGTGTGCAAAAATTAATAAGATAAAGGCTATTTCTTCACACTAATCGACGTGAAAATGGCACAAAATGTATTTATGAATGTACTGTATCTGGAATTATTCGATATTTTCTGTTAAGTGTTAATTATAAAAATATAAAGTAGGAAGTAGATTAGCGAAAGTTACCGGAGTCGAATCGTTAGCATACGATTCTCACTGTTACATTCCATATTTCTCTTTTATCTGGTAGAAATCGAAGCTTCCATTAGTTGACTGTTCGACCATTTACGCCCGCTTCGTTGCTCCCTCGGCAGATGACTATACACAACTCGTTTTTTTTAATTCTTTTCTTTTAGCAAGTGAATTCTCTTAGGAAACTGTTGATAACAGTCGGGTCACTGGCCTTTTCTTTATTCGCCGAAAATTAATCGATCAACGCTTGAATCTACTTCACAGTTATCATCTCATGAGAGAAACTATTGGAATTTTCTAGCGTTTCGGCCAAAAATCATGTTATTCCTATTCGCATGAATGACTAAGGCCATATGCATAACATCAATTCAGTTTTTTTCTTCATCATCATCTTAAGTGGCTTGAGAGAAACTAAAGAAAAAAAAACACATAAAATTATTGTTATATTTCAATGTTAAACTAAAAAAAAAGTATTTTTTATAATTATTTTGAATGTAATTAACAGTTAAATATAATTAAGATTTGAGTGTAAAAGTATTGTTTTCACAAAAGGCTAAAAATTAAGTTAAAATTCGCACTTCACTGTGCAAAAAAACACTAATTATCTAACATACAACAACGTTTACACAGTGAAACTGTGCATAAAAACTGATAACTGATTCGAATTTAGTTATGAAATTACAAGTTTTGCTTGGAAGAAAATCACCCCATAATTCGAGAATGGATGATAAATACCTTCATCAATGTATAGGCGAGACTTCTTATATTTAAATTATCAAATTAGTGCAAGAATAAGAAGGAAAATAGGGGAGGAAACAGAGTCGAATTTCGCGAAAGTGGAAAGAGAATTGATTAAAGTGACAAACTATTCGTCTATAAAGGGAAGGGGGGTTTCGTTTCATTAAATCTATCCTGAAACTTCCCTTTTTTCCCCCTCACTGACCTGTTATAAAGAAACGGGTGGATGAAAAAAAGATAAACAAAAAGGTAAAAGAAGAAATTCTCACATTATTGACAGTGGCAACCTTAATGAGTTTTAAATAGAAAAATTCGATTTTGATTTAAAATGGGCACTCAAGAAGAAACTTGGTGAAGAGTTTAACCATTTCAAAGCGACAAATCAGGACTTTAGGAACAAACAAGACAAAAATATCGTTAATAAAAGATTAACGAAGTTTATGATTCGTGAAAGGATGCCACGTGCAGATGAATAATGAACTTTTCTACTCCCATTTTTTTAATTAAAAACACTAAATTTATGCATTTTAACAAACTTATTTATTGGTTGATTAAGTTTATTTATAGAATATTTATTGATTTTTAATCTATTATATCAACATTTTATCTTTTATCACTTGATATGGTTTATGAGGAAGAAAATAAATAATAAAATTGAAAGCTAAACTCCATAAATATTGATAACCATAAAAAAAAAGTATTGTAAATTTATACAAGATGTAACTGTATTTTTACAGTTCAAGAACTTTCTCGATTCATTGAATAATTCTTTTTCCCCCTCTTTCTGCCCTGTGAATGCTAAGAGGGCCTTTTGTCCGTGCCCGCCGCAGCTTCGGCTGTGGGCGGCGAGGGACGGGGCTCGACGTATCCGGAATGGATGGCCCATAAAAAAAATTCCTGGATGGTTGTTTGCCCGGATTAGGATCCCGAGTCTTCTGGAGCAGCGGGCCTACGCCTTAACCGGCTCGGCCATCCGCCCCTCGAACTGAATATTTAATTGTTGGAGATTCTCATTGTCAAGTGAAATTCTGAAGGAAAAAAAACAGTCTTTATTGTCAAATTTGGATTTTCAATTTTGTAAAAGTTAAATTATAAATTTATTAACTTTTTAAACTTTTATACATTACTTTTCTCCTTTCCTTGGACAGTAGAAATTGTGCTGCGATGATCATTAATCATCCACAATTTCCGAGGATAACTTTTTGTTTGAATTCCATTAATTTTCTTACAAATTACAGTTTAAATGGAGAATGTATTATTATTAATGACTTATATACAAAGCACATTTTAATATAAAATGTTTTTTATGTTCTTGTTCTATATATCCGAATGCACTACTATTCAATATGTAATTTGCTAGGATCTGTAAATTTTGAAGTCAATATGTAAAAAAGAGCAGGAAAGGGAACTAAGGCCAACAGGGCACAGTGAAATATGGGCGATTTCAACTGCGTTATGGCGACGATGCCGTAGCCGTGAAGCATCCAATGCACTAACAAGATCACAAGGTTCCTAATGTCTTTAACAGATGTCAAAAGTAGAGATTTCATTGACTGTAAAAACAAAAAAAAAAAAATAAAGTTATTAGATCTGTTTTAAGGATTTCAACAGCAATTAACGTAACTTCTTATATATTACCTGATCAAGATGAAATGCTAGATGAGCGGCAATCGAAATGACGGAGAGTATAATAATGATGTGCGGAAATGAATAATCTGAAACAAAATATTGTTTTTTTTTTTTAGTTATACACCATATTTAAATACATATATTATTTAAATCTATCATAACAATTTTAAAAAAGTGTTCCTATTCAATTTTTAAAAGGTAAAAAGACCCGCACTAAAAAAACACCAAGGTGACCTTGACCTTTGTTCACAGGCTACTTAACCACAAGTAAAATATTTTAAAAAATGATTCTATCATAAATAAAGCTTTCACTGTTGCTTGTTCAAATACTGTTTCTATTCTCAAGAATTGCAAAATACAATAATGACAAATACTTTATAGTCTACTAAATCATTCTTAATATGTAAATGGAGTGGAATGTTCCCTAGTGTAAATTTGAAATTATCATAAATTTCACATAAAAAGAATTTTTCCGCTTGAATAATTTTCATTTAAAAAAGTACAACCTTTCAAAGGTAAAAACAACATTACATTATGGTTTTTACTTATAAAATCTTTTCTTTTTTAATGTTTTAAATGCTTTATAACATTTAAGTTTTCTATTTTTTAATTATTCGTAGATCATTTGCCCGTAAATACTTGCGATTAAAAACTGCAACTTATATTAGAACAGTCAAATAAGATTACTTCTGCAATTTAACTGCCATTTTTATTATTTTACAGGTTAATAAATGTGCGGAAAAAAAATCTGACAATGTAAAATAATCATCATTCAGTGTAAAATTAGAATTTATAATATCAATTTGAAAATATTTCTGCTTGTATTATCTTATATGGAGTTCTTTGGTTCGCTCATTACTGCAAAGTATTTGAGTAGAAACACAGTAGAAGCATTTCTTACGGAAAAGCAAAAGGGTAGAGATAACAGAGGATATTGAGTATAATACTAAAAAAAAAATCTAAAATTTCAAAAAACTAAAATATTTTATGCTCTATGAGGTGTTAAAGTTTGACCCTCCACACGTCATAGAATGTCATGGCTTCTTAGTGGTCGATTTATTTCATTTGCTCTATTCTATTTAATTGTATTTTATATTGATTTATTCTACTTAAAGATGCTTATTAATTTGTTCAACATCATTTTAAATATTAATTATTCTGTATTAAATTTACTATTATTATTATTTAGTTATTTAAATCAATATTTATACATAAAGTTGATATTGTTTAAATTATTATTATAAATTGCAGCTGTGGAGTGTGTTGTGGACAGCAACGAATGCTTGGTTTTGACCATTAAAAGTGATCGAAGCCGAACTCTTGTATTCTACAAGTCTTCAATATAATGTAAATTATAATAATATATTCCAATATATGCAACATTTAAATTTGAGAGAAACTCAACTCAGTTCGAACAATGTTTGTACCTGAACACAGTGAAAAATTTGCTCACTGTGTCATTACTGTCTATTGTGCACACAAGGCATGTGTCATTCTCACTGTGAAAGCATCCCTTGTGTTAAGTTTGTGCGATTTCAGTGCTTTTTTTGCTTTATTTATGATGTGTTGGTAATATGTGACATCTACCTATTAACCATGGCATATAAGAAGTGTGTGAAAGCAACAAAGCCTAAAAGGAAGGTTGAAGTATTAACGATTGAAATGAAAAAATACTTATCGCAAAGCACGAAAGTGGTACATGTGGTGAATCTGGCAGCCGTGTTAAGACGCCAAAGGCAATGGTGTGCACCATTCTTATGAACAAGAAAGCAATAAAAGCAGAAAATGTGGCTAAAGATGCAACAATGTTCACCTCCAGGAGATTGCATGTTATTGAGATGAAGGAAACTTCTCCTAGGATAAATGAGAAACAAGTGGCTGGTGATATCATCTCCTATAAGAAACACACAACATATCAATACCACCACTTGAAAATTTAGTTTAAGATAAATTTTGTAAAATGATTTTAATTTCCAAATTATTTTAATTTAAACTTGTAAATTGTTCATAAAAATGCATTCAATTTTAATGTAGACATTTTGTTCTGCATTATATGCCTGAAGATGTCTGTTATAAACAAAAGAAAATGTTATTAAATATTTCTTAATTTTAAGTGCTGGTATTGTTATGTTGTGTACGCTTATTCTATCCCAGTATTGAAGTTATCTTTTACAGGATTATTTATGAGAAAACCAAGCAAGTTGCATAGTGAATTTGAAAAACAAGACATTGCCACTCCTCACTAAGGAATAGTAAATGCAATTTTCATTTTATTTACAGTATTTAAGTATTTATGTATTTTATTTATTGTTTTCATGTTTTAATTTATTATTTAAGGTATTTAATTATGTTTATTTTTACCTTGAATTATGTGTATTTCCTGTTTAAGTTTATCAAAATTGATATTGTTGGGGGTTTAGAAATGAATTACTTCACTTTCCATTATTTCTAACGGAAAAAACTATCTCAAGGAATCAATTAAATTTGAAGTACAAGACACCACTGTAATACTAATAATTGGGAAAATACATTGTTTTAAAAATTTAAATGATTATTATTATTTGTCTAACTTTATGTCCTTCACATGATTTACTATATAAATCCTCATAAACCTAAGAAGTTTAACAATTCAAAGCACAAAGTTTTTGAGAGAATATTTATGTGAGATAAGCAGGGGGTCAGCGGTTAATCCCTTCTGACCACTTAATCTGCATGGGTTGGTAAAACCCGATCTTGGATTTTCAGATTGCTTAGGAGGACAAATCGAGTGGGGAGTGCGTTGGTAAGCCGGCAGGCATCCTTAGAACAATGATAGACAGGCTTAACAAAAATAACAAAGCATTTATTGGATAACTAAGCTAGGTTACATAAGGCAATAATAATATTAAGTTTAAATGTGAATTAACTATACAAGGGCCGCTCTTAACAGCTCTAATGGCTATTTCGAGAGATAGAGTTCACAAAGCTCTAAAATACAAATACCTCGATGAGGATATGCGTGATTTGAATGGGTCGTAGGAATCATAGTCAACACAGGAACTGTAGTCTCGCGATACGTATGGAAGTTTGAAGTTGTGGTCTGTCCTATGTCGGTTGTTGCATCTGGTGTATGGAGACAAGATGCACACATTAACAAGTATAACTTCCTTTGGATCACCCCGAGCTTCCGGGGCTCGAGCTTTTATACTGTCTTCGTGGGAAAGGAGCCACGTGATTGACTTTTGTTGACACTAACGGTGCATTCCAATCGCCCAAGTGTCAACTTTCCCACTTAATTGTGAAAACAAACGGTGACCTCCAATATAATTCTCACCAAGAGCAGGTTTTTTTCTATCAGAGTTGTTTACAATTCTTTCTCTTTTTTTTCCGACAACTGCATAAAAATTGTGGATCTCACATTTAGTTAAACATTTAACATTAAAATATATTATAAATTAATAACTGAAAGTTGTAAATTACATAAAGAGTAAATCCCCAAAACTACAGTAACGATGATATTAAACTCATTAAGTTCATAAAATTACTTTTGATATATACTTTAATATTTAATTTCAAGAACTTATCATCGGAATTTATTACCTCTACTATTTCATTCTTTTGGCTAAATTTAATTAAAGATATCAAAAAGCGTTTTTACCTTATTAGAATGCAACTGTTTATATTACAATTGAATATTAAAGAGGAAATAGTCCAAAGTACTCTTTGCTATTTTCAAATAAAGTTAAGCAAGATTAATGTTGCTTTTATTATATTTTTTGTATAGTATTGCCTTTCTCAATATACAGAAATCACTATCGTGATTTATAGTTTAAACTAAATTATTTTTATTGCAAGAGAACAAGACAAAAATGTGTATGTCTATTAATATAAACAATATTTTAAATTATACTAAAAAGTTTTTGATAGTTCATGATTTTTAAAAGTTCCTACAACTTATGACAGATAAAGTGGGATGTTCTAAATCACATAATTTTTGTTCATAAGTTAAAGCTATTATTGACTTTAATAGTAGAATGTTTCTTAACTTATAGTAAAGAATTTAATCATTAGTTTATTTTCTGTATTCATAATTGTAAAAAAATAAAAATAATAAAAGTTTAAAAACATGGATAAAAAAATTAGAGCTATAACACGAGTTCCTTCAGTCTATTAAGTTAAAAATTCATTACTACTATTTTTGAATGAAAAGTTTCAAGAATAAATTGGACTAACCATAATTACAAATATAAAACTGAATTAATATATTTTATACACATGATCAGAGATGACCCTACTGTAGGCAATGCCTAAGGCCTCATGTTTTCAGGTATATTTAATAGTATATTTTAGAATTTAAAATCATCAAATTGGTAATTATTAAAAATATAATTGTACTACTATCTGTTGTATTTGCAGAAAGATCATTTTCAAAGTTCTATCTTCAATCAAGAACTACTTCTAATCAATAATGTGTCAAGAGAGACTTTCATAACTTTCAACTTTTTCCACTGAAAAAAATATTGGCTGCAGAACTAGACTTTTTTCTATAAATGATGAATTCAGCCCAGCTAAAAGCAAAAGAGCAGGTTTTGTGAATAAATTTTTTGTTGAGCACCTATCTATTGAATTTTACAGTTTACTGTAAATCTATTGTACACATTTTTATTACTTTATTACATTTTACTGTCTGTTTCTACATTAAAAATGTTCATATTATTGTAGACCTAAATAAAACTACTCGCTACCTTCACTATGCTAAGTGAGCCACAAAAATAAATTTTGCCTAGGGCGCCTCATGAATCCCGGAGCTACCTCTGTACATAATGCACTATATCTTAATAAACTGATAAACACATATTTGCAAAAAAATAGAAAAAGATAGGAAACAGTAAAGAAGATCCTGCTGGTCAGATTCTTATATTCTTATCATGCCTAAAGGTTTACAATTGCATAAGAAATATTTTTTTGTTAGTTTGATACATTATGAATCTTTTGGCTCAATAAGAAAATAAGAATCTAACCTGCTGGCTCTTCTTCATCCTTTTGCATCATCAAAATCTGTAAATAGCAAAAGTTTCTTTACTAGTTTGCTCATAAATATGATTCAAATGAATAAATTGCTTACAAGTTTTCTGGATTAAATTTAAATTCCTTTTAAAAACAATCTTATTTTATAATTTTTAATACTAATATACAGATATCCCTTACATAATGCTGGATTTGATTAATGCACAAAGTTAATTGCGGCAATTCCTTTATACGCATAGCAGAGGTTTTAAAGTTTGTATAATGTATGATTTGAAATACCTATGGATTCTATATGTAAAATATCAATTTATATACACTGAGTATGGAAAACCTGATGCAGGCCTATTAAGAAAGTTGAAAACGTTTGTATATTGAATTAAAGTGTTGCTGGAATTATTTTATGGTTTCTTCTTATTATATAAAAATAAATTCTTTATTGTTTGAAGAAAAATTGCTTTTGCTTTATCTAATGTAGATTAATAATACATTCATTACAAATATGCACAATGTTTCATTAAGAGTTTCATAATGTATCAGTTCCATAATATTTTAAATGTGTAAGATATTAATTTTACATTAATAATATGGTAAATAATACATGAACTGCATTTAATGAAAAATGGGAGTTTAGTTAAAAATATGTAACTTTGTAGTTATTTATTTTTTAAAATAATTTTTTGTATTTTATAATTTACATTTCTGTCACTCAAATTACTAGAATAAAAGGTTCTTTTCTTTATCTTTTTGGTTCTCTTGTATAACAATTTCAGTTCAAAGATTTTATAATCAAACAATTAACTCATATTTTGAATTATGTTTTGGTCATTAAAAGCTACAAGCTTGAGATATAAAAGATAAACTAGGATTAGATACGAATAGCAGAAATGCTGTAATTTATATTTTAAACATAAATTAATAATTAAATTAAAAGAATTAAAGGGTACAAACAAGATGAAGAATAAACAATACAGTATTAGAGGAATTATCTGAAACAAAACAGGAAAGTTTTATGAGACAAAGTATTAAATAATAAAATGAAAAATATGAGTTTTAAGAAGAAAAATGAGGTTATTAATAGTAATAACATTTTCTATAGTATTTGCTAATGTAAGTAAATTGCAACAAATTATAAAACATTAGATGTAAAAAAAAAAAAATGTAAAATAACATCCAAAATGTTATAATGTTGTATAACACGTTCAATTTTTGCAGTTTGTTTATAAAACATTAAATATATATCTTACATATTTTATTGTAAGAAATGAAAATAGAAAGCACTAGAAAAACAAACTATAAAAAAGCAAATTTCTCAGTTTCAAAGAAAGTTACATAATCAGATTTTATTATAGTGTGTAAAACAGGAAAATACAATGTATGCAAGATTTCAAAATCTGATATCTTACAACAATTGAGATCAAATACAAATAAGATATTAAAATGAAATGGCTTATAACTGCATTTTGAAAGGCATGATATGCGTATCTGTACATATATAGTTTTTTTCTATAAATATAATTAATTCAGCTGAATTAAAGCAATAATTATTACAGTTTCCATACTTTTAATAATACACATAAGAAATCTTATGATGCATCTCAGTGCTATGTTTCACAACTCTCTGAAGTGTTGTTTAGGCAACCCAATTGAAAATGGCTGAACTAGGGGAATTTGGATGTAGGTGTTTATTAATATTGTTACAAGATGTTGGCTGATTCAGAAATTAAATTTGATTAAATAAATAAATTTAGAAACTTTCTTTCTGAATTTTTAAAATTTACTTAATTTAATCTTTAGTTATAAATCTTGTTATAAAATGATGTCCAAACAGTCAATCTATAGTCCAACTTTGCTAGTTTAATTAGCCTTCTAACCAAAAATAACCACGATTTAGACTCATGCTGTTATATAATTCGTACTCTTCATTATATGTACAGTACACAAATATTTTGTGCAGTAAATAATAATCCTGTATATTTATTGTATGCTTTAAAATCGAATAATCCACCAAAAAAAAATATTTATACTTACATATTAATCCTGCACAAGTTGCATGTATTACTACAAGAATTGGTATTAAATACATAGTTAGATAAATGGATCTTTTTCCTTTTCCATCAATAAACTTTAACACTAATAAAGGCCTAATGAGTAACATGATAACAAGTGATAATGCAAAATAAATGAATACCATTGAATACCTGCAAAATAAAATTTTATGAATTTATTATAACTGAAATAAACATTTTATTTTAATTATTTTTGTTTTACTTACAATGGATAGACAACCTCTTGCGTGCATCTCAAATTTCCAATGTAATTAGGATTTGGATTATGTAATAAACTATACCAATCTGAGAGTCTTTTTACACCGCATGCATGTATAGAGAAAAAGCCAATGGGTTTAACTAAAATAATTGTTAAAATAGCTGATGTAATATTTTCTATAAGAGCACTTATATGAAGAAAAATTATATCTTTTGTAAAACTGAAAATATAAAATAAACCACTTGTTTAATATATAAAAATTAATTTCATTTTCAATTTATAAAGAAAAAAAATATTACTTTCTTCTTTTCATTGTGTGATCAATAATATACCATTCCAAAATTAGCAGTAATAAGGCCATAAAACCAAGATATAAGAAATCGTAGAAACTTGGAGAGTCTTCGCACAAAATGCACTCTGATGTAGAAGAAACTTTATAGCCACGTGGACACGCCTAATAAAGAAATAATCAAGAAATAAATAAATGTATATATAACATTAAATTACAAAAATTAATTTCTTTAAAACACAAATTATTATTAATACAAATTCAATATCAAATAATCAACTAATAATAATAATAATAATAATAATAATAATGATTAAGTAATGCTTAAAAAGGAAAAATATCTTAGAAGAATTCTTATGTTATTTCCTCTATAAAGTATAGTGTGTGATCATTTGTGTATTGTTTCCTCACCAATGGCAATTTTTAAGATGTAAAATTAGGGTGAGCTAATATTTTAACTTCTTATTTCTGTCGATCTCCCACTCCCGACAATCGGCTTTGCTTTACAATCTATGCATGCGCATAGCATTACAATCGTTGATAGCAGTTTATTCGGTGGTTCTCCATTCGCACTTTTCTGATTTAATCCAGTTGAGGTTTGATAGCAGCTGTGTAGAATCAAATTTAAAATTTTTTTATTACTCATACTTACTAATAATGGAAAAACGGTTTACATATGATTCTGAATTCAAAGGAAAAGTTATAATGTGCGCCGAAGAAATTGGAAATCAAGCAGCTGGTAAAAGATTTACGGTTGGCATAAAGAATGCGCGTCATTGGAGAGTCATGAAAGAAAAGTTATTTCAGTGTAAAAAAAAGACAGAATATCATTCTTGGGGACTAAAAACAGAAGATACCCTGCAATTGATGCAAATCATATATATATAACCATTTTTTACTTATTATTTTTTCCAATTTTCAACTATTACAGTGGTTTAAATTTAAGAGCTGCTTATATTCGAATCTGGTAAATAGTAATTAAGCATTGTCAATTAACATGTAAATTCATACAAACTAACAATATTCAAGTACTGTACATTTATCCAATCATTATTAAGTGTTATTTCTTCACTTCTTTACAACAAAATGACAAATTATTATGAAAGAAAATAAAAAAAATTAAATTTGCATTAATTATCTCATTGTAATTTATTTTTTATTTGTATTTATAACAATTTGTCAAAAATTCTCTACCAAAGAAGTGAATGAATGGTATTTACTGTTTAGTAAGCACTATAATAAAATAAATAATTTATATTTGCTTAGATTCTTGATAGTTTATAGATAGATTCAAGATCTTATAGATTCTTGACAATTTGAAATTGAAGGGAGAAAAATTTTTTAGTAAATGAAATTGTAAATATCACAATACAAACAATATAATTAGACTTAAATATATTATATTTTAAGTATGCATATAACATGTTACACGAGTTTGTCATAGACAGTTTATTGTCTTCTTTCTCAACAAGCTTGTTTTATGAATGATACAGTTTCTAGAAATCCTTTTAACAGTTCAAGAGCTTTACCGGCTTTCCTGCATATAAGGGAGCAGGACATTTGCCCTTGACAGATCCATTTCCTCCCCATTTTCAATATTTATTTCTTATGCTTGATTCTTACTTCAGCAGTAATGTTGTCTTTAAGTTATTATCAACAATGACAAGATCTTCAAATGACTTTTCCATCACTCACTACTGTAATGAGATCAGCCTGATATTTTTTGATGCAGTCAATGGATTCTGATGTAAATTCCAGTTTATTTGAAGCATCAATAAGTTGTTGACTAAAATCTGCTTTTGTAAAATAATTTGCAATAGTGCTTTGTGGAACTTTCCAATTTTTTTTAATTATTCACACATCTAACAGGCTCACTCCAAACTTACATGATCCATCTTTCATAATATGCAACATCTTTTATATGACAAACTCTGTATTGCAATTCAGATTTAAATGATTCCCTGAACTAAAATTTGCAATTGATAAGTTGTATTTGGTAGTGAAAATTGAACTGTTATAGCTTTCTGAGTGGGAATCATCAAATGTGTACTGCAACTGTCAATAAAAAGAATAATTTTTCTGTTTTCTGAAATCATGGAGTATGTCTAACTTCTTCAGCCAGTTAGAAGAAAAAGCTCTGACATTATCTGTGCTTTCTTATTAGCTGTATATTATATAAGTAATGCCCTGGCATTGCAAAAACATTGATTAAGACTTTGAAGATTTTTCAACTAATAACAATGGCAGTTTTTCACTGTGTATCATGTGTTCTTCTAAACAATGAGTTATGTGTCTCTACTTTCTTTAATTCCATGACATGAATCACATTTGAACACTATTCTTTTATCCAGCAAATATTAAAAAAAGTAATCAGGTTTCATTTGCATTGAAAATGCCATCTGGGCTTTATTTCTATACAATTTCTGGTATAATTTTCAATCACTTTTCACAATCTTCCATACTTTCACCACAAATTTCAAAAAACAGTAAATAATTAAGATCAACCTTAAAATGACAAGTTAATCTGTTATTTTGAACATTACAAATAAACTCAGCTGTTCATTGTTTTCAAATTTTACACCTGGTTCACACATTGAGCATCATTCCTTACATCAGTAAACAGCCTCTACAGAAGACATATGGAATGAATAAATGAGTTTTCAGTATGTTCTCTTTTTATTTTGTTTCATGTATTTTTCTGTAAAGCATTTTTACTGAAAGATTTTGAGATAAAAATTTTTTTTATTTTGCAAAATCCTTTTCTGCATCCTTTACATAATTTGTATACACATTTTAATGCCAATCTGCTTATTGGTTACAGCTACAGAATACTCTGCAAAGAGAAACTTTAATTACGGCTACCCTGTATATAAAGTAGTGAGGTCTACACACGAATTTGAATTCGATAGTTTGAAAGTCACACAGTTTGGTGATAGAAATAGTATCTATAAATTACTAATGGAATAAATAATAGGAAATATGATTATAACATAACATTTGTAATGTAAAATGCAATGTTTCTTTAAATTTATATATATTTTTTCATTTTAAATTAGGTAGAGCAGAAAGGTGCTCTGGCACCACTTGTTGAATACATCATGGTCAATCTACGAAAATGTCCCACTTTACAAAAGTTGCAAAACACTTCTAGAGAAAACAGAAATGAAAATGAGTTTCATTTGATACTTATAGACATTTGTAGAATATGTACTCAGGAATTTGTGGAAAGGTATCATAACTTTAGACATACGTTTGGCAACAAAATTATGCCAATATGTATAGAGAAATGTGAAAGAAAAAATATCATATAAAGACAAAAATTTAAGGCAACTGTATAATTTTGAACAAAACAATAGTAAGGACAGAAGCTTAAAGACATGTTAACATTTTGACATTTATGAAGCACATGCTTATAGAAAAGACATGATACCTTCTGTAATGGCAATTCAATAATCATAGTTTGATGTCCATCACAGGACCTATTAAATAATTGAATAGGTCATAATCTCATATTTTAGATATATAATTTCATTTTAACAGTCTTCTATCACAAAGAACCTCACCATCATGACCCTAGTGGCTTTTGCTACAGATAACAAAGTGCAAGTATCCATTAACAACACAAATATAATACATAATACCAGAGAGAAACCCATCTCAAGAATTTGGAGACACTACAGATACATAAAGCCTGTACAAAAAATACTGCTGTCAATTTTAAAGACAACAACATCCTCTTCCAGATGTAGCAGTCATATTTTAAAGTTACATAAAAAATTTTTTCATCTGTAAATGGCTGCAGTAACTTTCTGCACCATCTAAAATTCTTGTTCTATTTTTTTAAATATATTGTTTGAATTGTTGTTCAAATTTAGAATATATTTTAACACGAAGATACTGCTCAAAGTACTCAAAAATACTAGTTTTCATCAAATTTATTGTTTTTGCTGGATTATTTTGCTGTTTGTTTATCTTATTTTTACATGGTAATCCAGTTACTTGTTCTGCATCAAGTTAACAGTAATTTTATATGTTTTAGCATTGTGATCAGTACACTATGCAAAATTTTAGTACCTTACAAAGAGTTATGATTTTATTTCTTTAAACAGAAATAGTTTCTACTTTTATAGAAAGCTTGGTACAATTACATCCAAATACACAGTTGGAACCCTATCAGAGTCTTATACCACACCCTTAGGAGCTTACATCAAAGAAATCCTACCTATACACATGACACTATGTGAAGTACATCCTACTTCCAAATTGCACACAATCAGGAATCATGTCACTGTGCTAAGACTATCATATTTAACTATCTATCCCACACAACTACGTTGGCTTGGAGTAGCTCATTTGACAGTTAGTGTAGTACTCAATGGCTGCATTCAGCAGACTCAACAGTTGTGAGAAAGCAAATCAGTAGCTCTTATGTAGAATCCTAGAGCTGCCGAACGACGAGTGACTTTACATTGGAACAAAAAGCCTCATTGGTCAGTTTCAGGTAGCGATATGTAGCGTAAATGAAAGACGCTACCAAACGTGACATCAAAACACCAAACATGTTCTAAAAGAGTGCTACCGTAGCGGACGTTCAGCAAAAAAATACTCAACAGCTCCACAACTGTCGAGTTTGCCGAACGCAGCCAATGTTATATAATTTTAGAGGGTGTTGGTGACGCCAAGGTGCAAGCGAGTACATATGGAGAGTTAGTCAAGGTTTGCCATCGCCTGCCTTGGCTGACGCAGAGCGCAGAAAATAGGCAGTATACTAGTTCACAGTAAAAACTGACCTTCGGAGGCAAATATCTGACGTACAGGTATAACCATTGACATTTTTGTTCATACAGGGGGTCTAAAACTCTCAGGGGTGGCAAATCACTCATTCAGTGTTCACATCTTACCAAAAGGATTACTAAATATTTAAAAATATATATATATTTTTAATATAAACGAGTCCTTCCATCTGTACGCTTTTTAATGTAAATATTTAATTAAAATTCTTTAAATTACAGCTTTATTTTTAAATATTTTATGTTTTAAGTAGAGATAACTCACTCCACAGTCTGACAATTCTCCATTTTCACTTCTTATTCTTCCACAATATAAGCCTGGACAGCGGCCGAGAAGCCTGGCTGTAGATAAGAAGAAGGAATATAAATGACAAATATATATTTATTTTAATATTTAAGAAAACAAACAACACTTACACATTTTACTAACTTACAACCCAAGCAGATTGAACGTAAAGCGCCATCTACGAAAATGAAACAAAAACAGCTGTTCCAAAAAGCATTTAAAAAATCAAATTTAATCAAATTAAAACATAAATTAATTTTAAATATTGAGACATATTAGGTATTTATATTTATTTTGTTTCGTGTTATTTAGAAAAATACTTAATACTGATATTAAATTTTGCAATAATTTTATTACAATTAACAGCCGGCAGGGGGTGCTGATTTTCTCGGGTAGTCGAATGCGAAGAAATAAAATATATATTATTATTTTTCGAATGTTCTTATTGTAAAATTTTAATTAAAATGTTTTTGATAAATAAAGTATAAAATTATAATCAGGATTTTCAAGAGGTTGTATATGGAATCCGAGGTCTTTTAACCATTTACCTTAAACATATGGCCTAAAAATGGCTGACTTACGCGCCATTTTTAGTCCAAATCAGAGAATTAGTCTGTTGCCACGTCTTTGTCCAAATTTATGGAGAAATGAATGGTTATTCTGCAATTAATTGCACAAACCCTTCGAAATACTTATTGAGTTTATTATTATTATTATTTTGCTCTTTCCGCCCAGTAGGCACTAACAGGACCTCTTATAACAAGTCCTTTATGAGTTCGGCCAGGCTCACAAAACTACTAAACACTAGTCGCACCTCGCCAACGCGCTGGACACGTAAAATTTTCAGGGTTTTCTTCACATTAGTAATACCTAAACAGGGGCCAAACCCTCCTCTCGGTAGATTTCCCACGTGTCGCGTTGCCGTACATAAACCAAAATGGAGTAGCCAGATAGTGAGGGATAAACCATTCCCCGAAAAATTCCCGGAGTTGTTCGATTGTCCGGATCGATTCCAATTCCCCAGAGCGGTAGCTTGTCACGTTAGATAATCGGCCATCCGGCCGTCTAATTTTATAGGGGTAGGAACGATTACGATCCAGTAGTAATTGGCTCACAGGAAAATCGGAAATTTCCTAAAGAGCCTTTTACTCATTAACTGTTTATTATTTTAAAACACGTTATATTTCACTTGAAGGTGGAGGGAGTGTGGAGATAATGCGGGTCGTGTGTATCTCCAGTAGAGTCTGATTGAATGACGAATTTACTTGTTATTAGCATTTACATGTTTTATTATTATGTTGGGTTTAGTGGGTTTTACTCGGTTCACACCGGTGGCTGTGTACTATGCCGGACCAAAGTCAAGGCATAGCAACCAAAACAAAACTAAAATTAAATGTGTGTGTCAGTGTCAGTGTCTGTATTAAAGAATTTCCTAACAATATGGCATGTATTCAATATAGTGGCCTTCTGTAGTGTGATGTATGTATTTCTAATCAATTGTAATGTTCCCAGGCTTTTGTGTAGCGTGTGTGGTATCACACCTGTACAGGAGAGAACNCTACCCCTCACTCATCCCTCTATGCCCCCCATTTTCACACGGCTAAGTCGAACTAGGACAGCTATCTCAACTTTATTTTCAAGTCAAGTATTAGAGGTCAAAATGGCTACGTCCTACGTGGCAGCGTATATTTATTAAGCTTATTTATCCAGAGATAAACTTGATCAGTTCCAAACGGCAGTAGAGCTATATCCAACAAACGAGCGAGTTAAACAAAGCAACGAAGACTACTCGCAGTCAACTGGTGTAGAAGCCAGTTTTATATAAATAAAATCCTTTCTTGTAATGCCGTTATTATGACATTAATAAATAATTATGTCTAGCAGCATAATTTTATTAAAGTAGATTATTATTAAGCTTTTATAGAACAGCAAAAATGTGAAGTGCTCGATACTTTTTACGCAATCAATTAGGTAATTAAATGTATAAGATGGGGCTTTGCTTATGAATTAAATGAATTAATATATAAAATGATGAAGTGGGATGCTGAATAGGTAATACTTTACTTCACAACACGTAAGGGTGCATCAATGTAAAACACGAATGTAATGAGGGAGTAGTTGAGTGTGCAATTTTTCTTATATACAAGTGTTACTTGTATCTTATTATAATAGATTTTATTTCTGTACTAACGCCAGAAAATTATACGCTTCTTTCATAGAGAAAATAAAGTTTTCTAAAGGAAAAATACTAGTATATAAACAGTAACTTTCGAATATATATATAGGCTAGTAATGATATATGTTCTACGCAAATAATACTGTATTTCAATGCGTAAAGATTCTATTTTCTCATAATTTAACGTAATATAAACACGAAGTTAAAATTGTTTTCACTTCTTTCCCTTTACTATAAATACACGCAAGTTACATAACATTAAACTAAATGATAAATTATGCAACTCAGGAAATAAAGTGTTTTTTTGTTTTGACTGCAATAAACTCTAGATATATAATTTTTATCGAATGATTATATGTATAATATACGTTAGAAAATAATTTAGTATATAATTTCTAGGACGACTCATCACTTCTAAAGGATGAACTTGGATAGGGTTCAAAACGAAGGTCACGTTTTTCTTTAGTATTAGAGTTCACAGAGGAGCGATAGAGCCTGCTATCCTGTATGGGGCACAGGTCTTGGAGGGACAGAACGGCATTAGTTTATAACAAGAGGAAATTACTGTCTATCCAGAGGCGTGATGCTATTAGGATCTGTAGGGCGTATCGCATGGACCTTACCTATGCCCTGCTGGTTATAGCTAACATTATTTCCATACACCTACGAATTAAAGAGATCTTCTGGCAGTGGAACATGCTGACCATTAACCATCAGAATATTACCACAGAGAAGATACGGAACCTCTGTAGCAGGGGATTGATTCCTCCTAATACTGCGAACTCGATTGACTCCATTATTAATTACAAGTTAGACAATTATCTTACTGGACGTACTCTCGGAAGGCACCCTGGAGAGACCAGCAGCTATATCATCAATGTCAGAAACAATCATTATAGAGACACCATACCCACTGGAACATCTACACAGATGGCTCATGCAATGATAAGGGTACTGGTGCAGCCTTCGTCATCTATAATAGTGAGAATGAGATTCAGCATCAGCAATATTACCGGCTGCACACGCACTGTACTAACAACCAGGCAAAACTGCTAGCGGTATATAAAGCTCTAAGCACCATCACTAAAAATAGGAGGATCTACAATGGCAACATCTGTATCAACACAGACAGTATGTATGTGATTAATATCCTTTCGAGCAATAATAAGTACACAAGGACTGGAGTGGAGGTCAGACATCTTGACAGAAACCTCAGCAAATTTGCTTAACTCAGTTTTACCTGAGTGCCTGGGCACACGTGTAATAAAGGCAATGAACATGCTGATGCCCTTGCTAAAAAAGTCACCACAACGGACATCACTACCATTTTTTCTAAAATTCCCATCGTCCATATCAAGAACAATATCAGAGACTATAATGGAGAAGTGGCAAAAGAATTGGGCTACCTCAACCACTGGCAGAATTACTTACAAGTTTCTTCCGTCGATTAATAAAAGACAGGCTCTCAGCACCCGCATTGTGGTCGGTTGACTGGTGAATCTATCCACTGATCTTCGTTGCCTGCTTCTGTGCAACCACGGACATGCACTTTGTAGATGTTTCCCATGGTGTCACGCGTACCATCTCTCGTTCTAGTCTTAGATTGCATCTGTGTTTCGCTCCAATCAGCAGTCTTGTCACCGAGGTCTTCTGTTAACATAACATTGTCCTTTTATGTAACATACTACAAGCGTAGTACCTATGTTTTAGTGTTGTACTTTTTTTTGTCGGGATTACCAGTGGCGACAGGCCACTGCCATGTACATTTTGTTTTATATTCACTATTGTACCCGTCTATCCGGAAAGGCAATCTGTAAATAATTTGTACCAGCGACTGTTTTCTTTTGTTAGTGCGATGCTAATCAGGAATGTGATCCGAAACTCTACCTCCACTTTCCACCTCTTTTCCCCTCTTCTATCCCACTACCTTCCCTTCCCCACTCTACCCCTCACTCATCCCTCTATGCCCCCCATTTTCACACGGCTAAGTCGAACTAGGACAGCTATCTCAACTTTATTTTCAAGTCAAGTATTAGAGGTCAAAATGGCTACGTCCTACGTGGCAGCGTATATTTATTAAGCTTATTTATCCAGAGATAAACTTGATCAGTTCCAAACGGCAGTAGAGCTATATCCAACAAACGAGCGAGTTAAACAAAGCAACGAAGACTACTCGCAGTCAACTGGGTACCCTGTTGCTTATATAGCATCTGAAAACACTCCAGATATTGCTCCACCTTCGTCGAAAGATAACTCGGCTCTTGTTATCTCCAAGTATTTGAATCTCTCAATTAATACCAGAATCATGCTGGGAGTCAACTTATGGGTGCAAAGAAGTCTCGTCAATGATTCACTAGGAACTATACGCTACATTATATATGCTCCTAATGCTCGCCCTCCAGCTCTTCCTCTATTTATTTTAGCGGAATTCGATAGCTATCAGGGACCTTTCATCTATGGTAATCTGTTTCCAATAATACCCATAACACGCTCTTCGAACGATGACAGTATATTGCGATCTCGTAGACAATTTCTCCTTTCCTTGAGCTAATATAGAAAATGTCTATTCACTTCTGTATTTGTAAATCTACTCGTGTAATATAATTAATGTAATTTCTTTTGTATGTAATACTGTTACATAATTTTTAACCTTTTCTTAGTACAATTTACACATTATATTAGGTAACTTTTTCGTGTAGTTCTCGATTTCAGTGAATTATTTCGAGAGTATTTAACTTCTTCCTTATGGACTCTACCTCAATTTTCTTTAAAAAATTTGGGTTATTAATTAATATTCCCCACTCCTTTCACGTGAATTTATTATGCAACTTTTTATACAGATCTTTCAACTTCTCATAGTTTTTCCAGGAATTCCCTTGTTAGACCTACATTAAATAGTAGGATAGAATCTCATAAAGCGTGTCACTGAACATTTTTCAAATTTTAATGGAAATGATGATAGATAAACTAAATCTAATGGTTTTATATTGTACTACAGTGTTTTATGCATAAACATTATAAAATTT